TGAGGGACTGGGTTCCATGATAGTGGTGCTGCAGAACTGTATGTGCGAAGCCATTTTTATGGTTTTTCAAACAAGTTTCATACCGAACCAGTTTCGTACGAAACTTAAAAAGGTTTAGAATTCGTTTCAAAATTCGAAACCTTTTTAAGTTCGGTACGGTACCTTTTTTTTCTTTCAGTGTGGAGCGGAGGTAGCCGGTACACAAAGTACTCTTGTAGCAAGTAGATGTAAGTTTGGATAAGAATCTTTCTTTACAAAGAGTAGACGAGCATCATTACAATTTTCCTTCTCAAACATCGAAATTTCATTTTCAATCGATTCAGAGACGTAGGAACGCTTCTTATTCATTGATGTTTTTTGTCCTTCGTAGCCAGAAAAAAGTCGTTTGCGCTTGAAACTTGGTGTATTATTCATTTTGTCATCGTCATTTGTGCAGCATTCAATAGTCGATGATTCAATGGTGCTTTCGACTGGATCACTCGTTGTATCGTGCAGCTGCAACGCCGCTTTTAATACCAGTGTCTTGATCATGTTTGATGTTCGTTTTTTTGTCGATTCGGATAAATCTGATGCAAGCACCCATTTGAGTTTGAAACGACCATCCAGAAAAGAAGCGATTAAATAAAGATCACTAGTAGAACGTTTCTTAATCTTCATATTATTATCGGAGAAAATTTCACACCGTTCTAGTAGTCTACCGAAACGCTCATGCAAAGAAATAAGAAGTGTTAGACATAATGATTCAAGATATTTGCAATTACGTACCTCTCGTTCAAGATCAAAGTAAATTGAAAGAATACTAGGTGCTACCAACGAGATTGAAGCAGAGTTTTCAATTTGTGTACGAGTTGTGACTTCGACAAATAATGCGAAAATGCTTGCAAATTCTTTGAGTATAATGATGTCGCGAGCCGTTAAAACAAGATCAATTCGACCAACATTCCGAAGAAGATCGTTGAGCAATGTGTGGGAAATATCAAGAACTTTGCAAATAGTATGATGTTGTGAATTCCAGCGCGTCTTCACGGGTAATGGAATACTGATTTGTTCTCGTTGCAAGTGTTCAGCAAATATTGTTGATTTATGACTGAAACATTGAACAGTAATAACAAAAAGGAAACAATTTTTGCAGCTTTTCATTCTTTTTGAATTTTACTAAATATCTTACCTTAGTTTTGCAATCGTCGCAACTTTAGTAAGAGCAGATGTTGCATTACCACACCCTTTCAACCCGTCAGCAACTGTGAGTTGGAGAATGTGAGAGAAGCATGGTATACGAAGACGTTCTTCTTGACCACTTAAGTTTGTTTGCTCACGTTTTTCTTCACATTCCACCTTCTCTGTTTCTTCGTCATGTTCGTCATCGTCGTCTTCAAGTTCAAAATAAACTTCAAATCCTGGTATTATAAGTTCATCGAACGCCTTCAAGTTGTTTGATGCGTTGTCCGTGACTATCCACACCACCTTGTCTTCAATATTGAAAGTAGCTATAACGCCTTCAAGTTGACGACGTAAACTTTCACCTGTATGTGGTCCTGAAACAAATAGTTTTAATGAATTATGATATTGCTTAGCAATTTACCTGAAAGAGGTTGAAAAGTGAGCAGATAGTTTTGGAAGCTATCGTCGTTTTTTGCAATAGTATGCATTGTGATTGCAATAAATGTTCGCATTCTACGATCAGACCATACATCTAGAGTGAGTGCAACGAATTTTGCATCATCGCATGCTTGTTTTACTTTCACCATGACCTGTTCAAGAGCAGATGGTAGTGCTTCACGACAAAGTGTACGCCGAGATAAGACAGTGAATCTTGGATCAATGGTGTTCATTGCACGTACAAATGCTGGATGATCAACAATAGAAAGTGGCAATCCTAGGTCGATTATTAAATCATGTACAATCATTTGAGTAAGTTCTAATTGCCGAGGATTGTGAGTACCATATTTCTGACTGACTGAAAAAAAATCAAGACATCTTCATAATCAATGTTATTCAAAGATTATTTACCTGATTGCTGAAATGACTTATCAATTGTTGGTTGCTTTTTGCTTTTGTTCGACTTTTTGTTCTCTAGTCTTAATTTCCATTTGTTCATTTCTTCGGAATGCTTACGATGAACATGACGTCCGTAGTTATACGTTGATGTGGTAGATTGTTTGATAATGGTGCGGCAAATTAAACATTTGGTAGATTTTGTTTCATCATCATGTGTCTTTACCTCATCGAAGAATTGCTCAAGCACTGTGTTAGCCACTTTTTCAGTGTTATATATTGGCAATGTGTCATGATGATCGACGACAATAAGAAAAGATGATTCATTGGAGTTATCATCTTGCCCGGCTAACGATGATTGATTATTTGTTTCTTTTGTTTGACATAGAACAGTTTGTTCGTTCAACTTTTACTTGAACGATAAATTTTGTTCTGTTCCATGTTCACTCACTTCTCGCGTATTTTCTTTTCTTTGATTCTCTCTCTTTTTCGACGTCATGTTCGTTCATTGTAAAGTTAACAATAGCGCAGTCAAATCAAGTGAAGAAGAATATACTCAATGAATGATCGGTCAATATTTTCAACGTTGTCATCCGTCAAAGTGTAACAATGACATGTCCATTAAAGTTAATAATGGATGGCGAGCTTTCTCCTTATCAATTCTTCTTCCTTTCTTCATGGAAAAAAATCATGCAAAAAGTGACAAGTTAAGTCACATCAAAAGGGATGAAAATTGTAGATTTTTAATTAACCTTTAGTCAAAAGTAGCTATAAAATGTCGATAATTCATAGAGCATTTCAATAAACTTTTTGCAGTTTAGAGCAGTTCCGATCAACTTCGATTAAAATCTATTAAAGTTTGGCGAAATGCATCGGCTACAATCGATGCATATCGATCCAAATCAGTTGAAGATCTTTCATACATTACGCACTAAAATCAATACGAATTCATCTTTTTTATTGAACTTCAATCAATAAAAATTGGAGTCGAGCGAAATTACATATGAAAGTATAAGTTCTTGGTAACTTTTGATGAAAAACTGATTAGAAGATATAACACTTTAATCTCAGTTTTTCATCAATATTTCGATGAATTTTCATCTAATCTTCCTTCGAATTCTTTTCATATAGGAAAAGCGAAAAAATGAGCGTACGGTTGGAGCTAGAGGCAAAAAGGTCGCTCCGACTCCGCTCACAATAAAAAAAAACCGCTCCGACTCCGCTCCAGCTCCACCGTTCTCATGAGTCGCTCCGCTCCGAAGCCGGAGCTGCTCATCTCTGGCCGTAATATACCGTAAACCATCGTTTGCAATTGTTGTAAACGGTTACCGCAAACAGCTGACGTATACGATACCTTACGATATTTTCCGAACAGCATATACGGTCGCCGTATTATTACGCTAGTCGTTAACGGTGACTTTTTAGGGTCACTGTTTACGATGACCGTAATTCGCCGTAAAGCATCGTTTACGATTGCTGTATGTGGCTGACGCAAACAGCTGCCGTTATCCACCGTAGTTGGTTGGTATACGGTCGTGTACAACCGAGCATGATTGACCTGGGGAGCTATCCGAATATATAATTACTTTTCTCGAAATGTTGATCTATAGTGATGATATGTTGAAAATACCGAGTAACACTATTGTTTTCCAGGTACATATGTATATATATATATGTATAATTGAGTTAACATAACCTAAGAAATTTCCATAATGTAAATGAAGCAGTTTATCGTAAGTGTCAGATTTTTCAATGGACTCAAATCCTCTTTGATATATTCAATCAAGTAAATTAATAAATTTCAAATTAAAAAAAAAGAAATCATTTGTTTTTGTTTGGTAAAAAACTAATGAACTATTTATTTTTGCATATTGTTCTTAATTGTTCGATAGGCAATATCAAATATTGGTTCATTAATCGCTCCAGTACGATGATAATGAGTTCTTGTATGAATATATGGAACAAGTTGTTCAAATGCATCTCTTAATCTGTTTTCAGCTATTTTTCTTTTTTCTAATGTATTATTTGTTTCATCTCCATAAGCCCATTGATAAGTTATATTAAGATAATTGTGTACAGCTTCTCGATGTGTTTCTTCTGCTTTTATTTTTCCTTGTTTATCATTTCGAAAAGTAGATATCATATCTAAATCTTGTTCGGTAGGTGGAATATAATTAAAATCTTGTTGAGTACCATTTAATCGTTTAGGTAAGCATGATGGATCGATGTATCGAGTCAAATCACTAATATGACTTATAAAATGAATTTTACTTTCAACAACAGGATCTAACCATCGTTTAATAACATACCAACATCCATTAAATATCCAAGGTGCATTCACAACAAGTCCAAGTGCAAATGATTCTGGATAATGATTTTGAAGAAGATGAGTAAGAAATTTTAAATGTTGATAATCCATATTTTTTAATCCAAAACCATGCAAATCAAAAATAACTGTCACAGATTCATTTGGTGGTTGAAGTAATTTTCTACCTGTTTCCATTGAAAAAACTGTTAATTTTTCAGTTGCTTCAGATGGAAATTGATCTTTTATATGTTCTTTAGCAGAAACATAATTTATTGGACGACCATCTCTATCATGACCCATAAAATAAGTTTTACCTGTTATGATTTCATCATAACAAAGATCAGTTTCACCTTTCGTTAAAAGTTCTTTAACACCCCATTCATGTCTCCATTTAATTGTATCCATTAATTGTTGTAAAGCAGCTTTAATATCCCATTTTCTAGCCCGAAGCCATCGAAGTAAAACTGCATCTGGATTATCATAAGCAATAGCTAGAAATAGTTCTTCTTCATAAATAGTATTGATTTTATTTTCCGAACCACGAATATTATCTCCAACAATTCTCCAAAAACTTTTAAGAGTTTCAATTTGATTTCTATCAAGTTTTTCTAGATAAAAGCCAACTTATATTTATTAGTTAAATTATTTCAACTTACGGATATGTCCTAGATCGTTTGCACTCATTTAACAATTTGTTTTCTTTTTGTTTAATTAACAACTCTAAGTCAAACAATATATTTGTTCATTTATTAATTATAATCAATATTAATATTTTGAAAATTTTTTGGTAATTTTATTCAATTTAAACTATGTTTATTATGTTTCAAATGAATTTTCATTATCTCTTTGCTTACCGACAAAAGACTCCGATACATAAGATAGAATGGCTTTATACTAATGCATATATTCATTTCTTAATGTAGAAGTTTAATATCATTGAATAACTGATTATAGATTAGTTTAAAGTGATGATAAAGTTCATGAAGCATATATACATCGATCGACATCAATCAGTTAATAAAAAACAAACTGAGAAACTCAACAAATTTCAAGGCTTCAACAAACTTTGAAAAATTTCATCGAATTTCAAATAACGTGTAAAAATTTCACTAAAATTAACAAATCTTTGATGGACTTCAACGATTATACGGATTAATATTTTCTTCTTAGCGAATTATGTTCAATAGGAGTTTTATTATTTATTATTAAAGAAAAATAAACGAAACTATTCTCAGATTTTTATTAATACATAAATCACTTTTGTGTTTTGGATAATTTTCAATCGTTCATAACTATCGAAGTCGGATTTTCGATATTAGATAGAGCAATGTTAGAGGAACTTATTTGTACAAAATTTATTAGGTTCAACAAAGTTCTTCATGAATATTTATAGGTGAAAATATTTTTTATCGTTCATTTCTACAAGTTTTCGCAGCAATCTAAGCTAAAATTACTTGAAAATGTATGTCGAAGAGTATTGTATTTCGCATAATTTGAGTCTAGTTTACTGCGAAAATATATCTGTCTACAAATATTTCTGAAGAACTTTCTTGAACTTAATGAATGTTGCACAAATAAACATGTTCAACATTGCTCTATTTAATGTCGAAAGTCCAATATCAATAGCGATTTATGGTCAAAAGTTATTGAAATAAATAGTAGTTTCTATTTTAATAAAATAGCTCTTTTTGTAATTTCTTCAATTGTTGTTTTGTTTTCAATATTTTAATCTTTAAATTATCGAGATGTTTGACTGATGCTTGACGAATACTATTTTTCGATGAAATATCTGTTTAGATGAATAATGAATATGTAATCGTCAAATGTTTGTTTTTCTGATCAGTCATGACATTTATGTAAATATTTGTAAAAGCAATAGTAAAACAATTTAATGACTAAAATCTGAGAATAATGAAGAAAATTAAATTGTTTCTTGGTTTTTTTCAAAGAGCAATGACAAAAAAAGATTTTGAAGTAAATCTGTGATTTTTAACATTTCTGGTTGTTTAATGTGAATCGTGGGAGTTAGACTATTTATTTTGTTTTATATAAAACATATGATATCACATTTATCTTTGTTAAAGTTTAAGACAATAGTGATTTTGGTGATCTCTCGAAAAAAAAAATATCGAATGTTTCCATAGGTAGTTATTTTCTCGAGATTTTTCGCTTTTATTCAATTTTTCGACTGGCTTTAATTACAGTTGCAGTTTCATTATTGATCTAATGATAAAATGCGACGATTAATCTCTATTATATTTCCTAATCATTCGAATATGTATATATATTTCTTTTCATCAAACTTGATTTTCCTATCTGATAAGTTGATTAGAATAAATTTCCTAAATAATATCGTCATATTCAAATGAAGAATAAAGTAAGTATTCTTTTCGATTAAATCAAGAGAATATTTGATAAACTAGTATATATGTGTAAGTAGAATTTACTTTCTAAATATCTTGAAATTCTCGTTTACTCTTTCAAAAATTGAAATTACTTAAAATGTTAACGTCTCTAATAGGCATTGTGCAATACATTTTAGATAATGTCAATATTCTATTTTCACAACTATAATATCATCAAGTCAATAAAGAGATATGAAACGACATTTTGAAGAATTGAAAAATATAAGTGAGCATTATAGAATTAATATCGTCGTTTCTTATCGTATTTGGAAATAATAAAAAAATTCACAGTTGTTATAACATATTTTGAGTCTAATCGAAATTTAGTTATGATAAACGTTGATTATCATTGATTTAACATAACTTAGCTTATTTATCTTAAACGATAGAACAATTTTGAATTTTTAAAGCTTGTGCTTATTTTCATTTAGACGGCATTTGAAATTATTGTTTACATAAATCCTAACATAGCGATTCGATTTAATGAGACTATGAAATTTTAGTAGGATTTTGAAAAAGTTTCTATCCAAAAAACTATGGTTTCTCATGATAGTATGAAGCTGAACTACATTTTTGTGTATTCAAAAAGTTCATAGACTCTAGAATCGGTCAGTATGTCCGGCCGGCCGGCCGTTTACACGATAACTTTCGAAAGGAGAGTTCGATCACGATGAAATTTTCTGTACAGTTCAGTCTTTACAATATCTCGGTCGAGTTCAAAGATGAGAAGGATTGGCCGAGCCCTTCCTGAGTTATTGTAAAAATACTCATTTTCCCTATACCTTCCTTATGGAAAGATCGATCCTTTCCCGCTTTCGTAAACAACTTTTCCTATCATAGTCAACTAAAACCCCAACTATTATATACCATTCGATAGAGAATTTCAAGAGCTACAAAATGGTATATAAAACATAAAGAAACAAGAAGGTTGACTCACCTATGACAAAGATAATTAAAGATAACTAGCTTATATTTTTGTCTACGATCTAATTGATCCACGAATAGAGCTCTATCTTCCGATCGCAGANTGATTCGATGACGGTACCAGGCATTATGTTCGACTGCTTACCATTAGATGCCGCACTCTCTTCGTCGTTGGAATGTTTTTACGATTCATGGTGTCTATCTTTAATTCAAAATTTGTCATCAACTAATATGAGACTATCACCACTAAATGGTAAAAGTCGTTGCGAACGCAGTACTACTTGAACGATACTTTTAAATGAACTAATAATTGAAGAAAAAATGATGAAATACAACTTTTCATCTTATTATTCTATTTGCAGTCCGAAATATTGTACATTTTCATATACACGCCGATTCGATTTAAGTTTTGTCATCACATTCGTTAGTAGTGCGTTTAGTGCTGGATTACTTGTATTCAAATCTATAACTGCATTCTTAGTCAAGCTTGCATTTATAATAATTTCATGGAGAAAAAAGAAAAATTCGGCAAATGTTGATGACAATCATCAAACCTCAAGTTTGTGTGAGTTATTAAAATTTAAAAAAACAGAGTCAAAATTCCATTTCAAACCTTTGCTACTGCATAAATATCATTTTAGTTTGATTGAGAATAGTTTTCGCAGTCGATGATGAATTAAATTTTAACGTCAAATTTCGTATTTGTTATAAACTTCTATAGAGCACTGTATAATAGTATAATGTAGCTATTATTTAGAACTGACAAGTCATGAAGAAGATTTATATTCTGTTCAGATTCTACGAGAGAGAATATGATCGTTTATGAAATCTTTATCGGATGCGTTAAGCGGTTAAGTACCATCAAGTCCACAGATTATTTTTCCGTGAAAGTTAGCCATCTCGTACTATTCTATGTCTTCGGATATTAGCTAAATGAATAGACAATAAGCACCTAAAACAATAATGTGAGAAAGAAATCAGCGTGCACATAAGTAATATTTCATTTTTGAATATATTGACAGCTTTTTATTTTATATATTTTATTATACGATTTATGTAAGTCATCGACCAACTGTATATCCAGCTACAAGACAGTGAGGAAATGAAAGGAGAAAAAAATGAAAACATCTTGGACAAACAAACATTAAATTAAAAGAACGAAATTGCACGATCATATTTTAAAAAAACTTGAAAATTATCAAAAAATTTGACTTTCCAATTTACAACCATTAAATCTTTTCTGAAGTAGTTATTAACTATATGCAACAAGTAACTTATAAAAACTTATTGATGATATTTTTTTTTCTGTTTAAATCGATAGTGTGATAAATTCACTCTGCTCATAATGATCATATTACGATTGTGAGAGTCAATGAATGTTATTCAATACTGTCAGTGCTTTGAACATCATTTTGATTTAGGAAAAACTCAAAAACTACATTGATTACAATATTGGCAAACGTCATAATTCAATGTCAATGTTCCGATGCTTGTTTAAATGTAGAGATGGAGGTCAATAATACATAGACGAGAAGGCATAAAACTTCTACTTTGCAAAGTTACATGTGCTATCTTCTTTAAAAATACAGGCTACTTCCATAGCTGTTGTAGAAAAACAACTTAGCTAATAAATTTTTAATTGTCATATAATATTGCCGGAATGATTACTTTAGTATGATATAAAGTATTAGTAGAATATATGTCAATGATCAGACACTAGAGATGACTTATGGCGTCAATAAAATTGAACATTCCTATACTCGAAGACAACTAAGATTTGGAGATTTTATGCATGTACGTATGAAGAAGAAAAGACAATATTTTACATCTAGTTTATGTTACTATTTTCTATGATTTCAGTATTATCGATAGATTATATAAGGGTCAATGATAAGAGGTTCATGTGACATGAAAAGTTTATTTATGATACAATCAACTACACCAAAGTCAATAATTGACAGAGTCGGGAAAGCAATTCCTCTGTCACTTATAAATTTTGTAAACCATGATTATCTACTAGTTGATAATTATATGTTCTATAGATATGTTACAGTATGACCAGAGATGGGCAGCTCCGACCATTTCTCGCTCCAGCTCCGCTCCCGCTCCAGTCAAAATTTACTCGCTCCGCTCCGACTCCGCTCCAGCCTAAAAAATTTCGCTCCAGCTCCGCTCCAGCTCCAGTCATAAATCACCCGCTCCGCTCCGACTCCGCTCCGACTCCGCTGTAAAGAAAGTTTTTTTTATTTGTCCTACAACTTAAATGTATATGTATTCAGTGAATTTTATGTTTTCCTTCTATATGTATATATGCATACACATAGAATATAGAAAAATAGATTATCAATAAATTTAAGAGCAAAAACCAAGTATTGATTTTTTTGAAAGAAAGAACAAATCATAAATTTTGTTCAGAAAGAAAGACGAAGCATCGATTTATTTAGTAAAAGAACACAAGCGATCAAGTTTTTAGGAAAAAAAACGAAAATATTGATTTATTTGATAAAAAAACAAACCATGATCTTTTTTAAGAATAAAGAACAAAATAGTAAACTATTTAAGAAAAAAAAAACAAATCACGAACTTTTTTAAGGAGAAAGCAAAGTATTATTTTATTTAAGAAAAAAGAACTATGTATTGATTTATTGAACAAAAAAACACAAAGGATCAATTTTTTAAGAAAAAAGAAGAATGTATTAATTTGTTTAAGAAAAAAAACAAATCATCAGCTTTTTTAAGAAGAAAGGACTAAGTATTAAATTATTAAAGAAAAGAAAAGAAATCATCAATATTTTCAAGAAAGGCCAATGCATTAAATTATTTGAGAAAATAATCAAATCATAAATGTTTTTAAGAAAAAAACTATCATATCAAATGGTTTGAGAAAAAAACAATTTATCAACTTATTTAAGAAAATAGGCAGTTATTGATATATTTAACAGAAAAATATCGTCAATGTATTTTAGCTAATTTGATTACAATATGAAGATTACTTGCAATGATAAATTCAGTAATGGACTATAGTAGTTGTCGATTGCATTTTAATAAAGTTAATGTTGATAGCATATTCTTCGAGAGTCGACTACGATGAGGACGCATAAATATACCACTTGAGGAGAATACCCGCTCAACAGGAGCGGAGGTAGCCGGTACACAAAGTACTCTTGTAGCAAGTAGATATAAGTGTGGATAAAAATTTTTTTTTATAAAGATTAGTCGAGCATCTTTACAATTGTCCTTTTCAAACATTGAGATTTCATTTTCAATCGATTCAGAGACGCAGGAACGCTTCATATTCATTGATGTTTTCTGTTCTTCGTAACCAGAAAAAAGTCGTTTTCGCTTGAAATTTGGTATATTATTCAATGTGTCATCATTACTTGTGTAAATGTTAATAGTAGATGATTCACTGATGGATTGGGCTTGATGACTCGTTGCATCGTACAGCTGCAATGCGGCTTTTAATACCAGTGTCTTGATTAAATTTGATGTTCGTGTCTTTGTCGATTCCGATAAACATGATCCAAGCACCCATTTAAGTTTGAAACGGCCATCCAGAAAAGGAGCAATTAAATAAAAATCGTCTTTATAAAGATCACTAGTAGAACGTTTTTTAATCTTCATACTATTATCGGAGAAAGTTCCACATCGTTCTAGTAGTCCACCGAAACGCTCATGCAAAGAAATAAGAAGTGTTTGACATAATGATTCAAGATATTTGCAATTACGTACCTCTTGTTCAAGATCGAAGTAAATTGAAAGAATACTAGGTGCGACCAAAGAGATCGAAGCAGAATTTTCAATTTGTGTACGAGTTGTTGCTTCAGCAAATAATGCGAAAATGCTTGCAAATTCTTTGAGTATGGCAATGTCGCGAGCAGTTAAACCAAGATCAATTCGACCAACATTCCGAAGAAGATCATTGAGCAATATGTGAGAAATTTCAAGAACTTTGCAAATTGTATGATGTTGTGAATTCCAGCGTGTCTTCACGGGTAATGGAATACTGATGTTTTGTCTTTGTAGGTGTTCGGCGAATGTTGTTGATTTATGACTGAAACATTGAACAGTAATAATAAAAAGAGAGCAGTTTTGCAGTTTTTCACTGGTTTCGAATTTTACTAAGTATCTTACCTCAGTTTTGCAATTACTGCAACTTTAGTAAGAGCAGATGTTGCATTACCACACTCTTTCAACCCGTCAGCAACTGTGAGTTGGAGAGTGTGAGAGAAGCATGGTATACGAATACGTTCTTCTTGACCACTTAAGTCTGTTTGGTCACCTTTTTCTTCAAATTTGACCTTTTCTGTTTCTTCATCATATTCGTCATCGTCGTCTTCAGGTTCAAAATAAACTTCAAATCCTGGTATTACAAGTTCATCGAATGCTTTCAAGTTGTTTGATGCGTTGTCCGTGACTATCCGCACCACCTTGTCTTCAATAATGAAAGTAGCCATGGCATCTTCAAGTTGACGACGTAAATTTTCACCTGTATGTGATCCTGAAACAAACAGTTTTAGTGACTTAAGGTATTACTTAGCATTTTACCTGAAAGAGGTTGAAAGGTGAGAAGATAGTTTTGGAAGCTATCGTCGTTTTTTGCAATTGTATGCATTGTAATTGCAATAAATGTTCGCATTCTACGATCAGACCATACATCCAGAGTGAGGGCAACGAATTTTGCATCATTGCATGCTTGCTTTACTTTCACGATGACTTTTTCAAGAGCAGATGGTAATGCTTCACGACAAAGTGTACGTCGAGATAAAACAGTGAATCTTGGATCAATGGTGTTCATTGCACGTATAAATGCTGGATGATCCACAATAGAAAGTGGCAATCCTAGGTCGATTATTAAATCATGTACAATCATTTGATTAAGTTCTAATTGTCGATGATTGTGACTGCCATATTTTTGACTGACTGAAAAAAATCAAGAGATCTGCATAATCAATGTTATTCGAAGAATACGTACTTGATTGCCCAAATGATTTTTCAATTGTTGGTTGCTTTTTGGTATTGTTCGACTTCTTGTTCTCTAGTCTTAATTTCCATTCGTTCATTTCTTTAGAATGTTTACGATGAACATGACGTCCATAGTTATACGTTGATGTAGTGGATTGCTTAACAATGGTGCGACATATTAAACATTTGGCAGATTTTGTTCCATCATCATGCATTTTAATCTCATCGAAGAATTGTTCAAGAACACTATTAGCCACTTTTTCGGTGTTATCCATTGGCAATGTGTCATGATGATCGACGACAATAAGAGAAGATGAGTCGTTGGAACTATCATCTTGCTCAGCTAATAATGATTGATTATTTGTTTCGCTTGACATAGAAAAGTTTGTTAGTTCAACTTTCACTTGTGTGATAAATTTTGTTCTGTTTCATGTTTACTCCTCGCACATATTATTTTATTTGATTCTCTCTTTTTCGACGTCCTGTTCGTTCATTGTAAAGCTAACAATAGCACAATCAAATTAAGCAAAGAAAAATACACTCATTGAATGATCGGTCATTATTTTATATATTGTCATTCATAAAGATGTAAGAATGACAGGTTAATATCAATTAATAATCGATAGCGAGTCTTCCTAATCAATTTCTTCTTTCTTTCTTCACGGAAACAAACTTATATAAAAAGTAACTTGATAAGTCATATCAAAACGGATGATGTATATAAATACTTAATTGACTTTTAATCAAAAGTAGCTATAAAATGTCAAAAATTTACAGAGCATTTCAATCAACTTTTTCCAGTTTAGAGTAGTTCCGATCAATTTTCATTAAAATCTACTGAAGTGTGATGAAATAAATCGACTACAATCAATGCATATCGATTGAAGTCAGTTAAAGATCCTTCATACATCAAGTACTAAAATCAATACAAATTTATCATTTTTTATTGAAATTCAATCAACAATTATCGAAGCAAGCCAAACTATATGTGAAAGTACAAGTTCCTGATAACTTATGATGATAAACTGATTAGAAAATATAAGAACGTAATCTAAGTTTTTTTTATCAACATTTCGATGGACTTTCATCTAATTTTCCTTTCAATTCTTTTCTTATGGGAAAAGCAAAAAAGTGAACTTACGCTTGGAGCGCTAAAAGCAAAATGTCGCTCCGACTCCGCTCCAAATGAAAAAAAAACCGCTCCGACTCCGCTCCAGCTCCACCGTTTTTATGAGTCGCTCCGCTCCGCTCCATGGAGCGGAGCTAGCTCCGTGGAGCGGCCGCTCCGGAGTCGGAGCTGCCCATCTCTGATCGGCTGTGCTTAACTTTTTTGGTTCATTTCCGTTTTGAATCTATTCTAAATTAGCATCGGATCGAGAAATGACTCTTTCATCATTAGCACAACAAATCCATGAAATGTATTCNTTTAAACCAGCAACTTTCAGGCCGTATTTTTAGGAATTTTTTTTTTGTGATTAAGACATTTTATTTTCAAAAACATATTATAAAAAAGTATCAAAAAAGCAATGGATTCGATTAAACGGAAGATATATATATATATTTATAAGTTTGTGGTAGTAAATAAGTCCTTGAAAAAGCTTCATAAAGAGAACATCTGGAGTTGCATCTGATAATTTAAAACGAACTTAATCTTTTTTATTTCATAGAATCAAAAAGGCCGGTCCAAACTATCGAGAAGAACACTTTTTTTGCTTGTGACACGCCTACATTGGTATCCTTTTATCACGCAGAATGGTTACAAAATCGAGGTGATCTACTTCTATCATCTTGCAATTAATACTTTTTTGCTGATTAATACCACACCTGTTACATTTCTATATATTTTTCTGTTTTTAATTCAAATCATTCCAGTCAACTAAATCAATGCTGTTGTTAGGTACTTTATTCATCGTTGTCTTATCCTCCCTTAATAGTATCGTCTATGCATGCAATAGAGATCCGCATGAAGGCGTCTTAGTTGTTGCAGCTGGAAATTTTCTTTCAGCAAGTAGTGATCAAGGTGTTAATTGGTCACCAGCAGAAAGAAAAGGTCAAATGACATTCAATTCTGCAACGTGTCGATATGAAAAAATCACTCGAGGATTACCAACGAATACAAACTTCGAATGGAAAGTTGCTTTTAATGGAAATTGGGGCGGAAATATAGGATGTAATAATGGTGCTAATTGTTTTTTTAATAGTGGTTCTTCTGGTGTTGTTCTTCTCATATACGATCCATTCGATGGAAAATTAACAACAAGTCCTTTTAATGATCAAACTACAGTTCCAGGTGGTTCAACTTCTACACCAACACCAACACCAACACCAACATGCTCGAATCCATATCAAAATCGAATAGTTCGAGCATCGGGTGATTATCAAACAGAATTAGGTAGTACAGCTCCTTGGCTTGCAACAGAAGAAAATAGTTTGATGAGATTTGATGCAACATCTTGTCTTTATATACTTACACTCACTGGTTTAACACCAAGCAAAGCTTATCAATGGAAAGTCACATTTGATAATTCATGGGCAAATAGTATTGGTTGTGGAAATGGTGGTAATTGTCAATTTTCTACAAATACAGCTGGTGCAATGGAACTTGTATTTAATCCTATTTCAAAACAATTATCAAATCGTCCTTTGACAACTGTTTGTGGTAATGAAAAATGTGAATTAGGTGAAACATGTCGAACATGTTTAGCTGATTGTGGTCAATGTCCACCAGCTGTTTGTGGTGATGGTAAATGTGAAGATGCTGAAACATGTGAATCATGTTCAGGTGATTGTGGAAAATGTCCTGTATGTGGTGATGGAACATGTCAATCTAATGAAAATCATCAAACATGTTCACAAGATTGTCCTAATGAATTGCCTGGTTGTGGAGTGTTTAGAGAAGACAGTTGTGAAGGTGGTTCTCAATCTCATGCAAATCCAGGTGCAGAAGCTAAACGTTGGCAAACACCAAAACATGGTACAAAAGGTTATCAACCATCATATCAAGATTATCATACACTTGTTGGTTATGCTGATATCATTTATACAGCTACTGATCGTCGTACAGCTGATGTTTGTCTTGAAACAAAACATCGTTATGCAGATACAGTCAAATTAACTTATTTCTTTGATGGTGTTGCTCAAGAAAATAAATGTAAACGTTATACAAGTTCATATACGGGTATATTACAAACAGCAGTTACAGGAAGTGATGGTTCAGCATTAGAATTACCAGAAATTGATTTCATATGGAATGCAAGATCAATTGCTAGTCGATCAGGTGATTATCGTAATGGACAAAAAGGTGCTGTAGCAGAAATGTTTGGATGGCCTCATAATGATATAAAACAAGAATGTGAATTTCTTAGCAAAGCTGGTTATTTAGGTGTAAAACTTTTTCCAGTTCATGAACAACTATTGTCAACACAACCATTTGAAGATTCAATTAATCCATGGTATTTTATGTAAGTCGATTTTTAATTATTTGATTTATTGTATAAAGAATGTTTCTACACTTATTATATTAGGTATCAACCAGTGTCATATAAGTTGGACGGTCGAATGGGTACACGTGAAGAATTACGTGATTTAATTAATACATGCCGTGGATATGGTGTACGAGTTTATATTGATGCTGTACTTAATCATTTTACTGGTGCTGGTAATGATATGAATGAACATAGAAATCCTAATGGTTGTGTGAAATGGGGTAACAAAACAAGCAGTGCACCACCCGAACGACAATCGCCATTCTATACACATGCTTATACTTATCAATATAATCCAAATACAGGCAAAGCTCCATCTAATGAATTTCCTGGTGCTGCTATTGGTCCTGAAGATTTTCATTGTGATCGTGTACTTGGTTCTTGGTCTGATTTATTTATTTTAAATAATGGTTGGCTTGTTGGTCTTACCGATCTTGATACGTCAAGAGATAATGTACGTGAACGTCAAGCAGCTTATCTTGTTGATATGTTAAGTTTGGGTGCTAGTGGTTTTCGTATTGACGCAGCTAAACATATGTCACCTGAAGATATTTCTGCAATAATGAAAAAAGTTCAACGAAAAATGGGTGGAACATTACCAGATGATTTCTTTGTTTGGCTTGAAGTTCTCACAGGTAAAATATATAATTTTTACGTTTGTATTTTTAATTCTGATAATATTTAAATTATAATTTCATCAAAGGTGGAGAAGCTGGTGTTATATGGCAAGGACCATCATGGTATGGAACTATGTTCGAAAATATTCTTAAGAGTGATCTTGGTTCGGCTTCTGAAGTCAATAAAATTAAAGTAAATTTTTTCCCCAATATTCTTCATTCGATTAATCAATATTTTTATAATTAGATGTGGGATGGTCTCTATCCAAAAGAACCACAAAATAATCCATCTGTATCACGTCATCGTGTAGTCATTCAAAATGATGATCATGATCAACAGAATCCAGGTTCAAGTAGTCGTGATATGGCTAATGCTGGTTGTGTTCTTGTTAAAAATTGTCCTGCATCCGAACATCGTAGTTTTGAAATTCGTCTTTTTTCAAGTCCAAATGGAGTGCAGAATAATAATGATGATTGGCCTATTCGATTTATTCTTTCATCTTATTATCATACTCATGGTGATCTTGGTATTCCAGATGGAAAATCTTCATGTGATCTATGTACTGTTACATGCACATCATGTCGTAAATCAGTACCTTATACAAAAGCACATGATTCAATGGCATGTGCTTATGCAGGTAATGGCTACACACGTACACATCGTGATATAGCTGTTATCAATGCAATGCGTGCATGGATGCATTTAGCACCAGTGTCAGGAGCATCGTTGGGTGTCGGACATTGTGGATAAATATGGAAAGAATATAAATCATGTCATCATTTTTTTTGTATTTCTCTACGCATTAAAGATACATCGGTAACAATCTAATAAAGTATGATAATCTATATATCAACTAGATGGTTGTAATATTAGTGCATATCAGTTTTTAATTATATTTCGAATATTTCTACTTGAAAATAGATTGTACTATGTTTTAAAATTTAATTAATCAATTATCGAACAAATCAACATTTTGTGTTGTTCTCTGTAAAATGAGAAAACCAATGGCTTTCTTCTTATACATTTTTGAAAAGAAATAAGATAATCATTAACTCTTTACCCTTAATATTGATTACAAAAGAGCTATTAATGAAACAGACATTGCAATAGAACATTGGTGTCTTATATATATATATATATTGATAGTATGCACAGATCAATCAGGCTTATTTAGTTCGGAAATATCTAATTTTGTAGAGAATGATTTACCCTACTATTTCGTGTAATATGAGCAAATTTTATTTTGTAGTTGTAGGTGCTAAAAACCTAAAAGT